ATCATCATCACCATCATCCTCACAAAGTTGGAAAATGTAATACTGGTAGGAACCTCTGGTTACACCAGCCCATAGTGGATTATTGTGTCCGTCCGTCGTGCAGGGAGGGGCTGGGTGGGGAGGGAGGGGAGGGTAGGGAGGGGCTGGGTGGGGAGGGGAGGGTGGGGAGGGGCTGGGTGGGGAGGGTAGGGAGGGGCTGGGTGGAGAGGGGAGGGTGGGGAGGGGCTGGGTGGGGAGGGTGGGGCTGGGTGGGGAGGGGCTGGTCACCCCGTGGTGCCCTTATAAAACTCAACGTTTCACCTACTCACGCCGGCTTGTGCCCGCCCTCACAGTCGGGCATATGTGCGGAATACACCACGCCGCCGTTGACCCTGCAGGCCATTGACCGAGCAACCCGACGTCGTTCCTACCAGCTCCCTCCCCCTGTCACGTGTTTAAAGGTCGGCCAAATTCCCCGATCGCGTGACGTCGTTTCTGAACGCCGAGGGGAAAAAAGCGGAGCGGCCCCCAGGGACAACAAAAATAATTCCACGCGACAACGGAGAGAAAGAGACGCAGACTCCGACCACGCAAACTAAAATATAGATTTTTTTTTATTTTAACCGGGAAAAAGCCCCGCTTGGGCTACGTAGATATTGTTTCAGAAGCGATATAGTCCTTATCATCATCATCATCGTCGTCGTCATCGTCGTCGCGTTGGAAATTTGGTAGGGGACTAATACTCGAAACGCGTGACCGTACATTCTAAATGTGGATGGGGAAAAAAGCGGAGGAACCGGGAGAAAGATCCACGCGACCACGGGAGAGAGAGAGAGAGAGACACGCAAACTCCAAATACACAGCAGCAGGCGTCAGGGGTTGGATCGAAGCCACGATCTCCTGCAATATCAGGCGCTAGGGAAGTTAACATCTGTGTGTCTCTGTGTGTCTCTCTCTGTGTGTGTCTATGTTGTGTGTCTCTCTCTGTGTGTCTCTGTGTTGTCTCTCTCTGCTTGTGTGTCTGTCTGTGTGTCTATGTTGTGTGTCTCTCTCTGTGTGTGTGTGAGTCTGTGTGTCTCTGTGTTGTCTCTCTCTGTGTGTCTGTCTGTGTGTCTATGTTGTGTGTCTCTCTCTGTGTGTCTGTGTGTGAGTCTGTGTGTCTGTCTGTGTGTCTATGTTGTGTGTCTATGTTGTGTGTCTGTCTCTGTGTGTCTGTGTGTGAGTCTGTGTGTATCTGTGTTGTCTCTCTCTGCTTGTGTGTCTGTCTGTGTGTCTATGTTGTGTGTCTCTCTCTGTGTGTGTGTGAGTCTGTGTGTCTCTGTGTTGTCTCTCTCTGTGTGTCTGTCTGTGTGTCTATGTTGTGTGTCTCTCTCTGTGTGTCTGTGTGTGAGTCTGTGTGTCTGTCTGTGTGTCTATGTTGTGTGTCTATGTTGTGTGTCTGTCTCTGTGTGTCTGTGTGTGAGTCTGTGTGTATCTGTGTTGTCTCTCTCTGCTTGTGTGTCTGTCTGTGTGTCTATGTGTGTGTCTCTCTCTCTGTTTGTGTCTCTGTGTGAGTCTCTCTCTGCTTGTGTGTATGTCTGTGTGTCTCTGTGTTGGCTCTCTCTGTGTGTCTCTCTCTGTGTGTCTATGTTGTGTGTCTCTCTCTGTGTGTCTCTCTCTGTGTGTCTCTGTGTTGTCTCTCTGCGTGTGTGTCTGTCTGCGTGTCTCCGTGTCTGTGTTGTGTCTCTCTCTCAAATTCAGTTCTACCTGATGACCGGTCACTTGTGTTGCAATCGAAACGTCGCATTCTATTATTTAATTTATTTTCTTCCCGTGACTTTACCGAAAGAACGAAAGAGCCATTCCTGCAGTCACGAAAGCTTCAAATCAGGAAGGCAATTGCTGTTTTTTTCACGGCTACGTAGTTCTCGTTCGGAAGCTACCACTGGCTATCACAAAAACGACAGTTCAACTGAGTGGGCTCTCGTCATCATAATCATCATCACCACCAGGAAATGCACATCAGCCAAATACTCGAAACGCGTGATGTTGATGCGGAAACACGTGGAGGGGAAAATAAACGGAGCCCCCCCCCCACCCCCGGAGAAAAATAGGGTCGGAGATCAGATCACCCCCTACCCATTCACCCACTCACTAACGCACCCACTCACTGACGCACCCACTCACTGACGCACCCACTCACTGACGCACCCACTCACTGACGCACCCACTCACTGACGCACCCACTCACTGACGCACCCACTCACTGACGCACCCACTCACTGACGCACCCACTCACTGACGCACCCACTCACTGACGCACCCACTCACTGACGCACCCACTCACTGACGCACCCACTCACTGACGCACCCACTCACTGACGCACCCACTCACTGACGCACCCACTCACTGACGCACCCACTCACTGACGCACCCACTCACTGACGCACCCACTCACTGACGCACCCACTCACTGACGCACCCACTCACTGACGCACCCACTCACTGACGCACCCACTCACTGACGCACCCACTCACTGACGCACCCACTCACTAACGCACCCACTCACTAACGCACCCACTCACTAACGCACCAACTCACTAACGCACCCACTCACTAACGCACCCACTCACTAACGCACCCACTCACTAACGCACCCACTCACTAACGCACCCACTCACTAACGCACCCACTCACTAACGCACCCACTCACTAACGCACCCACTCACTAACGCACCCACTCACTAACGCACCCACTCACTAATGCACCCACTCACTAGTGCACCCAACTCACCCACCCGGACACACTCGGTCAAGCCTTCGTACGGCGTTTTAAGTCGACACACTCACACACTCACTTAGCCAGTCACCCACTCACTCAATCATCCACGCCTGTGAGTGGTGTTACACCGATACACTCACCCGCTCACTCATCCACCCAAAGCTTTTGCGTGGTGTCAAATCAACATGCTCACCCCTACTCATCATCCCACTCACTCGCCCAATCCACTGACTCTCTCACTCAATCATCCACGCATTTGGATGGAAGTTACACTGATAAGACTCACACACCCACAGCTTTTGCGTGGTGTCAAATCAACACGCTCACCTACTCATTATCCCACTCACCCACCCCACCTACACACTCGCTCACCCACACACCCACCCACTCGCTTACCCACCCACTCACTTACTCACCCACCCACTCACCCACCCACCGACTCACTTACCCACCCACTCACTCACCCACCCACTCACCCACCCAACGACTCACTTACCCACCCACTCACTCACCCACCCACTCACTCACCCACCCACTCACCCACCCAACGACTCACTTACCCACCCACCCACTCCACCTACACACTCACTCACCCAGTCACTCACTCACTCACTCATCCACACCTTTGGATGGAGTAACACCGATACACTCACCCACCCACCCACCCACTCACTAACCCACCCACCCACCCACTCACTTACCCACCCACCCACTTACCCACCCACCCACTCACCCACCGACTCACTTACCCACTCACTCACCCACCCACCGACTCACTTACCAACCCACTCACCCACCCACCCACTCACCCACCCACCCACTCACCCACCCACCCACTCACTCACCCACCCACTCACCCACCCACCCACTCACTCACCCACCCACCCACCCACTCACCCACCCACCCACCCCTTTGACGTGCTTGGGAAATCTACCCGTGCCTAGCCGGCTCGCTCTACTCCCATTGCTAACGAGAAGGTTTTCCTCATCGTTTTGACAGAATCAAGAGTGGCATTCGATTTAAACGGTGCAGTCGCGACTGGGTATTGGATGATGCGAGTGAGGTGGGGGGGGGGGGGGGGCGAGGAGGGATGAGGGGGGGGGGGGGGGCTCGAGAGCGAGGGGGGAAGATGCCGAGGCACGTCCGTGGAACGTATCAAAATTAATTGGCGAGGTTGCTTTGTCACTGTTGTTGTTGTTGTTGACAATTTGCGGTGAATAGTGGGGGGGGGGGGGCGGGGGGGGGGGTGGTGACAGTGGGGGGGATGGGGACCTCCTGTGTCTGTGAAACATCTCGTGGAGAAGCGCCGACTTTGTCTTCGTGCGAGAGAAGAAGAAACAGAAACGGCGAAGAAAACCGCGGGAAACAAAAATCCGTCGATGTTAAAAACAGCTCAACGGCTGTGATTCTGGGGATAAATATTGTCATTGTGGCCGTTTACGTTTCGCTATATATACACGCGTGTGTGTTGGTGCGTCTGGGTACACGTACACACACGTACACACACGTACACACACGTACGTACACTTATGTACATGTACGTACACACGTACGTATGTACACGTACACACGTACACACGTACACACGTACACACGTACACGTACGTACACGTGTATGTACGTACGAACACGTACGTATGTACACGTACGTATGTACACGTACATATGTACACGTACGTATGTACAAGTACACACGTATGTACACGTACGTATGTACACGTACGTATGTACACGTACACACACGTACGTGTGTACACGTACACACACGTACGTGTGTACACGTACACACACGTACGTATGTACACGTATGTACACGTACGTACGTGCACGTACACACGTACGTGCGTACACGTACACACACGTACGTGTGTACACGTACACACACACGTACGTGTGTACACGTACACACGCACGTACGTGTGTACACGTACACACGCACGTACGTGTGTACACATACACACGCACGTACGTATGTACACGTACACACGCACGTACGTATGTACACGTACACACACGTACGTGTGTACACGTACACACACGTACGTATGTACACATACACACACGTACGTGTGTACACGTACACGCACGTACGTATGTACACATACACGCACGTACGTATGTACACGTACACGCACGTACGTATGTACACGTACACACACGTACGTATGTACACATACACGCACGTACGTGTGTACACGTACACGCACGTACGTATGTACACATACACGCACGTACGTATGTACACGTACACGCACGTACGTATGTACACGTACACACACGTACGTATGTACACGTACACACACGTACGTATGTACACGTACACACACGTACGTATGTACACGTACACACGTACGTATGTACACGTACACACGTACGTACGTATGTACACGTACGTATGTACACGTACGTACAATGCTCCCGCAGGCTTCATGAAGCAATGAAGTCCTGGGAGCTACAAGCGCGGGGGAGGGGGTGCGTGGTGGGCGGGCAGGGGAGGGAACCCAATCATTAACGCTAGATTACAACCAATCTAACTTTGTTTTGCATCAATGTTTTTCTTCTTTAAACGTTTAACTGTAAAACTCAACCTGCCACTCGTTAGAGGGGGGGGGGGGGCAGGCAGGGCCCCTCCCTCCCTCCCTCCCACCACCACCCTCTCTACCTCTCCCCAAAGATGAGAAGAGCGTGTGTGTGCGTGTGTGCGCGTACGAGCGTGTGTGCGTGTGTGCGAGCGTGTGTGTGTGCGCGTACAAGCGTGTGTGCGTGTGTGCGAGCGGTTTGTGTGCGTGCGATCGAGCGTGTGCGTGCGTGTGTGCGAGCGTGTGTGTGTGCGCGTACGAGCGTGTGTGCGAGCGGTTTGTGTGCGTGCGATCGAGCGTGTGTGTGTGCGCGTATGAGCGTGTGTCCGAGCGTGTGCGTGCGTGTGTGCGAGCGGTTTGTGTGCGTGCGATCAAGCGTGTGTCCGAGCGTGTGTCCGTACGTGTGCGTACGAGCTGTGCGTGTGGTGTGCGGTATGTACATGTGCGTGCGTGTGTGCGTGTGTGTGCGTACGCGTGCCTGTGTGTGTGCATGTGCCTGCCTGTGCGTGCGTACCCGTGCCTGTGTGCGTGCGTGTGTGTGTGTGTGCGCGTGTGTGTACGTGTGTGTGTGCGTGCGTGTGTGTACGTGTGTGTGTGCCTGTGTGCGTGTGTGTGTGAGTGTGTGGTGTCCGCTACTGCCCTGGACTGGACACCATCACGGCGATGCCGTTCTGCTGTAAGTGCGCACGCAGCATCGTGTTCTTGTTCCGGAGCTCTTCCACCTGCCGGGCGACAGGGCGGCAACCGGCAAACGGGTCAACAACGAAGCAGCAGCAACAACAACGCACCATAGACTCAACACGCGTTACGTTGTTGCGTTACGTTGTCGCGTTGTGTTGTCGCGTTGTGTTGTTGCGTTGCGTTGTTGCGTTGCGTTGTTACGTTGTTGCGTTACGTTATTGCGTTGCGTTGTTACGTTGTTGCGTTTTGCGTTACGTTGTTACGTTGTTGCGTTACGTTGTTGCGTGTGTTGCGTTGTTGCGTTACGTTGTTGCGTTGCGTTGTTGCGTTACGTTGTTACGTTGTTGCGGTACGTTGTTGCGTTACGTTGTTGCGTTACGTTGTTACGTTGCTGCGTTACGTTGTTGCGTGTGTTGCGTTACGTTGCTGCGTTGTTGCGTGCGTCACCTGCTGGCGGAGCAGCTCGTTGTCCATGTGGAGGCGTTCCGTCTCCTTGATGTTGTCCACTGTACGTTGGTACGTTACGTTGCGTGCGTGTGTTGTTGCGTTACGTTGTTGCGTGTGTTGCGTTACGTTGTTGCGTTACGTTGCTGCGTGTGTTGCGTGCGTCACCTGCTGGCGGAGCAGCTCGTTGTCCATGTGGAGGCGTTCCGTCTCCTTGATGTTGTCCACCAGCTGCTGCTGCGTCTGCCGCAGCTCCTGGATGTAGTCGCACGCCTTGGACAGGATGCCGCCTTTGCTCTGCTCCTCAACGTTCGCACACACACGGGAGCCGGCACGGGGGAGAACCTGAACACCACCGCCACCCACCACCACCCACCACCATCACCACCATCACCACCACCATCACCACCACCTTGCTCTGCTCCTCAACGTTCGCACACACACGGGAGCCGGCACGGGGGAGAACCTGAACACCACCGCCACCCACCACCACCCACCACCATCACCACCATCACCACCACCATCGCCACCATCACCACCACCATCACCACCACCTTGCTCTGCTCCTCAACGTTCGCACACACACGGGAGCCGGCACGGGGGAGAACCTGAACACCACCGCCACCCACCACCACCCACCACCATCACCACCATCACCACCACCATCGCCACCATCACCACCACCATCACCACCACCTTGCTCTGCTCCTCAACGTTCGCACACACACGGGAGCCGGCACGGGGGAGAACCTGAACACCACCGCCACCCACCACCACCACCATCACCACCATCGCCACCACCACCACCATCACTACCATCACCACCACCATCACCACCATCATCACCACCATCATCATCGCCACCATCACCACCATCATCACCACCACCACCATCACCATCACCACCACCATCACCACCACCACCATCACCACCATCACCACCACCATCACCACCATCACCACCACCACCACCATCACCACCATCATCACCACCACCACCATCGCCACCACCATCACCACCACCATCACCACCACCACCATCACCACCACCATCACCACCATCATCACCACCATCACCACCACCACCATCACCACCGCCACCCACCATCACCACCACCAACCTCTCCCACCCCCCCACCATCACCACCATCATCACCACCATCACCACCATCATCACCACCACCCACCACCATCACCACCACCTCCTACCCACCCACCCTCCTCCCCCAACCCCCCGACCACCACCTCCCACCCCCCCACCACCCACCACCTCCCACCCACCCACCATCCTCTCCCACCCCCCCACCATCACCACCACCCACAATCACCACCATCCCCCCACCCACCATCACCGCCACCGCCACCCACCACCACCCCCACCCACCCCCACCACCACCATCATCATCATCACCACCACCCACCCCCACTATCATCATCACCACCACCGCCGCCACCATCGCCACCACCACCACCTCCGAGCCCCACCCACCCACCACCGCCACCTCCCACCCACCCACCCACCACCGCCACCCACCACCACCCACCACCACCCACCACCACCGCCACCCACCATCCTCCCCCACCCACTAACCACCACCTCCCACCCACCCTCCTCCCACCCTCCTCCCACCCACCATCACCACCACCTCCCAACACCCACCGCACCACCACCACCACCACCACCACTCACCACCACCACCACCACACCACCACCACCACCACCCACCACTCACCACCACGCCACCACCACCACCACCACCACCACCACCACACCACCACCACCACCACCACCACCACACCACCACCACCACCACCCACCACTCACCACCACCACCACCACCCACCACTCACCACCACCACACCACCACACCACCACCACACCACCACCACCACCACACCACCACCACCACCACCACCCACCACTCACCACACACCACACCACCACACCACCACCACCACACCACCACACCACCACCACACCACCACCACCACACCACCACCACCACTGCACCACCACCACACCACTCTCTCTCCCCCTCCCCTACCCCCCCACTACACCACCACCACCCCACCACCACCACTCTCTCTCGCCCTCCCCTACCCCCCCCACCACACCACCACCACCCCACCACCACCCCACCACCACCACCACCCCACCACCACCACTCTCTCTCGCCCTCCCCTACCCTCCCCACCACACCACCACCACCCCACCACCCCACCACCACCACCACCGCACCACCACTCTCTCTCGCCCTCCCCTACCTCCCCCCCCACCACCACCACCACCGTCACCGCCGTAGAGACGCTAGCAGCGTCGGGCTAAAGGTGACGGGGCGTGCGTGGAATGGAGCCTCCTTCCTGGAGATAAGCGGGTGAATGGTAATATAAATAATATAAATAACGGGAAGCGATCGGCGGTGCCGATAGGTGAGCGACAGTCGCGACGTTCAGACTCCTAAGCGTGGCGGCGTCTTCCGTGTCGCTTTGTAAATCCATCCGGGGTGTTCGTGGCGTGGCGTGGCGAGTTGTTGTTGTTGTTGCTGCTGTTTCTCTTCCACTAACCCACGTCCCTCCGGAGCATTCACTGGGGGGGGCTTCACAAGAAATATTGCGACGCTTGCGACGCTTGCGACGCGCTTGCGACGCTTGCGACGCTTGCGACGCTTGCGACGCTTGCGACGCTTGCGACGCGCTTGCGACGCGCTTGCGACGCGCTTGCGACGCTTGCGACGCTTGCGACGCTAGCGATGTTTGCTCGATCCGGCGATTGCCACTGAGGCCGGCGAGGGCTGCGGTTCAACTCCAGCCGGCATCCCGGTCGAGCAATCAAGCCGGCTACCCACGTTTTACATCACCACCATCATCATCACCATCATTATCATCATCATAACCATCACTATCATTATCACCATCATCACCATCATCATCACCATCACTATCACCACCATCACCCACCATCATCACCATCATTATCACCATCATTATCATCATCATCATCACTATCACCACCATCACCCACCATCATCACCACCATCACCACCATCATTATCATCATCATCATCACCATCACTATCATTATCACCATCATCACCATCACCATCATCATCACCATCACTATCACCACCATCACCCACCATCATCACCATCATTATCACCATCTTCACCATCATTATCATCACCACCATCATCACCATCATCACCATCATCATCACCATCACTATCACCATCTTCACCATCATTATCATCACCACCATCATCACCACCATCACCATCATCATCACCATCACTATCACCATCTTCACCATCATTATCATCACCACTATCATCACCATCATCACCACCACCACTATCATTACCACCATCACCACCACCATCATCACCATCATTATCATCATCATCACTATCATCACCATCATCACCACCATCATCACCATCATTATCACCATCATCACCATCATCACCACCATCACCACAATCATCATCACCACCATCATCATCATCACCACCATCATCATCATCACCATCATCACCCGTCCCTGACTTTGCCTGCTGTAGATTTGGAGTTTGCGTGTCTCTCTCTCTCATCATCATCACGGTGGCTAGGAGATGTTAACTACCTCGCCTGGTATACAGGAGGTCGTGGGTTCGATCCTGAACATGACGCCTGCTGCTGTATATTTGGAGTTTGCGTGTCTCTCTCATCGTCATCATCATCACGGTGGCTAGGAGATGTTAACTACCTCGCCTGGTGTACAGGAGGTCGTGGGTTCGATCACGACCCTGACGCCTTCTGCTGTGTATTTGTATTTTGAGTGTCTCTCTTTCTCCCTCTCCGCCCGTGGTCGTGTTAATTTTCTCTGGGTCCTTCGATTATTCCCCTCCACATTTGGAATCAACGTCTGCGTGATGACGACGACGAAGATCATAAGCCGCTTCGTTGAGCTATCATGTGTCATGGCCAGGTCGCTTCCGAGAAAAAACAGAGCTACCTAGCTGCTGCCACCAAAGCATCATCAGCAACATCATCATCAGCATCATCATCAGCATCATCAGCATCATCAGCAGCATCATCATCATCACCAAATAGTTGTGTTCCCCGTCGTAAACTGCGGTCCAACTTGTCCCCCTTGACGTTGCCGGCAGCAACGGCTCATCATTTTAGTTTTGTCTCTCTCTCTGTGTGTCTCACTCTGTGTCTCTCTCTGTGTCTGTCTCTCTCCCTCTGTCTCGCTCTCTGTCTCTCACTGTCTCTCACTGTCTCTGTCTCTCTGCTCGGCACAGGTAACCCGCCGTTGCGAATTAGCAAGAGCACCGACAAAAATCGTGGGGGGCAGGCGCCACACACGCACACGCGCACACGCACGCACACGCACGCACACACACGCGCACACACACGCACGCACACGCACGCACACACACACGCACACACGCGCACACACACACACACACAGGCACACACACACACGCACACACACACGCACACACGCACATACACACACAGGCACACGCACACGCGCACACACACACACGCGCACAGGCACACACGCACGCGTTGTGGGGGATAAGTAACAAAGACACGCGCGACTTATCGTGTGTTATCAGTTGTCACTTTGAGGTCTCCCTCTCTCCCGCCCAAAAAACAAAGACAAAGATCCCCCGTATAGCCTGAACAGACTGCTGGGGCAAGTGCTGTTAGCGAGCACCTATGAAGGCCGGAACGGCACACGAGGGGGTGGGTGGCCAGCACCACGCCCGACCGCCTTTGTCTCCCCAGTGGCGATGTTTACACACCGCACCACGTACTCATTTATGGCTGAGTCGACCTAGGGGAGGCCCAGGACCGGTTCAAATAATCGTCACCGGTGATGGCCGTGAGCGGGAATCGAACCCGGGTCGCCGGGTTCGTAGCGCAGCGTAGCGCTGACCGCTGCACCACCGCTCCCCCCACACACACCCAGACCCTCCCAACCCACCATCCCACCCAGCCTCCCCTCCCTCCGAGACCTGGGCAGCAATAATATGAATATTGATAACGGTGCGCAGAGAATGCGATCATCAATCAGTCGGGACGCGAGACCATCAGATAGGAGGACGCTGTTTCGGCGCTAACGGCACAAGGAGCATACGTACTTGCGTGCACGCGCGTACAGACGCTGAACAACCACCTTGCACTCACCCCCGTAGATTTGCACCGACCAGTAGACTCGCACTGCCCATAGACTCAACACTGCACCGTAGACTCAACACTGCTCATGGATTCAATACTGCACCATAGACTCAACACTGCACCATAG